TACCCGTATCACTTAAGGATTACCGACCAATATCACTAATGTGTAACGATTATAAATTATATGCAAAAATTTTAATGAATAGGATTAAGAAAGTGTTTGACAAGGTAATACATAAGGGTCAGTTTGGCGTGCCAGGTAGGACAATGTATGATGGTCATGGGAATATCAGGTAATTTGTGGAGGAATGCGGAACGAGGGGCGGGGGTGGTGTTTTGGTTTTAGACTGGCAAGCTGCTTTTGATAGTGTAGAAAGGGATGTGCTGTGGAAGTTTATGAGATGGCAGGGTTTTGGTAATGAGATGATAATGTGGGGTCGCTCTTTGTATAATGGTGCTGGGTTTAGAGTACAAATTAATGGGAAGTTAGGAGACTTAGTCAAATTGAATAGAAGGATTCGACAGGGATACCCTATGTCGCAAATGCTTTTTGCTTGCATGCAGGACCCTTTTTATTGGACAGTTTGTGGGCGGGGTGTAGATTCGTCTTAGGGTTCGGGTAGTGATCGACCTGCAGTAGTAGGTTATGTAGATAATACAAATGTCCTAGTACGTACGAGGGAGCAGTTGCGTTGTGTAGGAAGATTTATAGATATATTTGGTAGAGCAACAGGAATGCGAGTTAACAAAGAAAAATCAAAGATTATGAAGTTGGGAGATTGGGCGAGGGAGGAGGTAAGTATAGACGTGGACGGTGGTTGACTGTGTTAGTATATGTGGTATACAGTATATGAGAGAGGTTGATGAGACGAGGGCATGTAATTCGGGGAGGGTGGTAAATAATGTTTTGAGGCGTTTAAATAGTCTAAGGCCACGACATTTAACTCTACACCAGCGAGATATAGTAATTATGTTCTTTTTTATAGTAAAGTTTGGCACGTTGCTGCGCTGTATCCACTAATAAAGGGGGATATGAAACATGTTTTAAATAGTTTATAGATTTCTGTGGGGTTCAGGGTGCGACTGGCTCACAAGAGCGGTGTTAGACACCAATGCGTCAAGGAGGGTTAGGTCTTGTTCCTTTAAGAGACCGAGTCATTGCTTGTTATGCGAAACGTCATTTTCTCCGATTGGGTGGAAGGCATGGTGGTGGTGGTGGTGGTGGTGGTGGTGGTGGTTTAACAGCAATGTATCGTGACCTGCGCAGGTGGTGGACACGGGCAGACGTAATCAAGTGCGATACGATGCTACGTGTTACTGTGAATGCGAGACGTGCGGAGCGTTAAATCGAGTACTTTGGAAAGAGTGGGTATGGTGAAAGTTGAGGTGAGAGTTGAAGGAATGTTCCCCATGTACGCGTGGTGTGATATATGGAAGCGGGTTCATCAGTTACATCTCCTTCCTCGAGTACGCGAAGTAGTTTTTAAATTTTTGCACGGGATTCTGCCGTCCAAGGTGGTGTTGTCTAATCGGCGTGTAGAGGTTGACCGGAATTGTTCAGCGTGCGGGGAGGACGAATGAGCGTTTCACGTTGTGTATTTCTGTGAAAATTTAGGTATAGTACGTGCGTGGTTAAGCAGAGTTTTACGAATGGTAGGGGGGGGGGAGGTTTGTCTATAATTAGGGCGTGAGTGGGGTTGACATTTGTGTACAACGTGCAGTGTCATATATCCTAGCCGATTATATTTATGTCATGGGCTATGAGACATGTTGAAGGTAATAGGGGAATCCGGGTTTTACCGGGAACAATTCTTCGAAGTAAGTGTCGAAATCAGTATATGAGGGGAGATGGGAGAAAGATTTCCCGTCTACATACAGAGCATTAGAGTTAAAGGATTTGAGATAATTTGTATTTGTTCAGTGGGTAATTATACGGGCTGGTCAGCTGGGTTTAATTGTGTGTAAATGTTGTGTTTTTGTGAATGTTGTATGTATGTATGTGTCCAATGTTGTATGTAAGTCTCCAGTGTGATGATGTCAATAATAAAAATGTAAAATTTTTATGTGCAGAACGTTAAGAGTTTTGCCCTTTTTATTCTTGTATACCAATTATTGGTATTTGTATAGATGTGTTTTTCTATTACATGTAATATCTGATAATTCATGTAATTGATTACATTATTTGTTGATGTAATATAAGACATCGTATTTGTTATATTTGGATGTTTTCGTCGTCGATTCATTAATACCTATGTCTGTTTGTGTGTGTGTGTTGTGTGTGTGTGTGTGTGTGTGTGTTATTGTTTGTTGGTTTTATAATACTTTATTATACAGTCTATATAATTACCCATGTGTGTTTTCTATTTGTATATACAACATGAAGTGTAAATATATGACATATTACTGCATATTGCAATTTTTTATTATTTCTGTCAAGCCTAACATTTTATAATCTTGTATTTAGGAAAAGTATTGAAGGATGAACTGTACAGGTGATGAGGGATTTGTTATGTAAAACTTGGAATTTGTTTAGACAATGAAGAATTTGTTGTCTGTTGAAGATCTGATACTGTATACTTTTATTTAATGTATTTTATGTTTTAAATAAAAAAAAAATAGGTAAAGGTATGGTAAGTTTTTTACATAGTTTGAATAACATTGCAAAGCAATATTTGATGGTATGTGGATTCATTTGTTATATTTTGTTTTAATCTGAGGACAATGTCTGTGGTTATAATATTATATTTTATTATCGTCGTGTTATACATAATGTGTTATTTCAGGAATATGGGTAGTAATTTCCTTGGTGAAAAGTGAGAGGAAGTAGGTATTGAGGAATTTTTACGTGTGCTTGAGTCAGTGATGCGAGCAGAGTTATTTTTGTTGTTAATTAGGCGTATCTATCTTGTCAGTAATGTTAGTTTTGTATATGCGAAAGAAATATTTGTGATTATTGTTTGAATACCTTGTGACCTTAGCGTGACTGATAGTCTCTTTTTTTGTTTTGGTAATATATTTTTTGTCTTGAATATATTTGTGTCCATTCCCTCTTTTTATAGGTATATGCGTGAGTGTTTTTTCACCAATGAGATGTTTGAATTTATTGTTGATGGATTTGGGATGAATTTTTAAATTAAATTTTCCTACTCTGAATAAAAGTTGTCTTTGCAGTTAGAAGTATGCTTAGAAAAATGTTGGCAAACAAGATGACTTGTCTGTGTATTTGACCCGTAGTTAGTACATGGTAATTGAATATATGTAGGTAATTTTCGAGTCTAAGTGGGTGAATTGAAAATGTGGGACCCAGAGATTTTGATATATTGATTGATTGCAGTTTGTTTGGTGATTGTATGATACATTGAAAGAAAGTTTTTGGTTTGTGGTCATTTTGTCCAAGGTCATGATTCATTAACATTAAGAATATGAATTGGTGACTGTTGTCCAGAAGTGAAGCAGATTTTGTCTAATTTGTTTTTATTTGAGTGTTTGAAAAAAACTTAGTGAAGAGTATAAATCAAATTAGTAGTTTATTTATTTAATTTTTTTCTTCTCATGTAATAATTTTAATCAATTTATGTAAAGTAGAAAATTTGCATTATAATGAGATTTTGATATGTAGATGGGTTATGAATTTAGTCCCATAAGTTTACTTGAGTGTCATCTATTAGTCAGTTTGAGTGCCTATATATGACAGGGAAAATGACTGACTGACTGACTGACTGACTGACTGACTGTCACGACTCTTGAAAGTGTAGCGAAGCCGAATATTAATATGTTTTCTTTGGTGTTTATTATATCATGTGTAAAGAAAATGAGATGCATGGATGGGTATTGCAGCAACGTTGCTATTGATTTAAATGTTAAATAGTTTATAATGGTTTATGTCGCATTGGGAAGAAGTTTTTTTGAGGTTGAAGTAGGTATTTGTTTTATTAATATATATATTAGGTAAAGTTGCAATTAATGTTTTGTTCTATGTTTTATTAGATTTATATATTAATTTTTTTGTTTATATTGTAAACCTTAAGGGAGATATAGTAGTCATTTGCATTTATAATTTTTTTTTGAATTGATTTATCATTATAGTAATAGTATTGTTAATATTGCGTTTTAAAGATATCCCTGAGGTATATTGTGTAATAAGAAACCAATAACCGTTGTTTGTAACTTTAAGACTTGAGCTAGATTGATTTATATATATTATTTTTTTGGAGAAATAGCCATAGCTGTATAATTTATCAGTTTAAATCCCTAGAAGTCATGAGTTATTGTGTTAATGGAATTTGCTAATAGGATTGTATCGGCAGGGAAATGAAGGGATTGTTTATATAAGTATCATGTTTAATTTTCCAAAGAATAGGTCTGAGTTATTAATGAATGAGATTGCAAGTTTATTGCATTATTTGTGTTGGCAACAATTTATAGCAATTACCGTAGACTTTGATTAATTGGGTAATGAATTTTTTTTTTGAAGGCGGTGGTACGTATGAATGGTATGGTTTATTTTGTTTAGGCGTTTGTAAATATTTATTTTGGTGACTTGGAGAGGATCTTGTTTATTTGTTTATTTCCCTTGGCAATGTAATTATTGCTAGCATAAAGAGGGGTTTATTGTCATTATTGGACAATATTAGTGAAGTTATTACCGAGTGTCAATGACAGAGGTGGTGATGGAGGGGACACACATGGTCTGTTTGGTAGAAAAAGGAGAGTTGATGTGTTTGTGAGAATGTCGTATTATTAAAATAATGTAAAGTAATTAAGTTGATTAGGATGGGAATGATTGGTAAGTTGAAGGTCAGTAGCCTGTGAATTAGTCATTTTTGAGAAGATAAATAATTTTATACGTTGAGAATTTGTTGACGCTAGTTATTTATGAAGTTTGAAGAAGAACTTGGCACTTAGCGGCTGCCACTATTATTGCTAGAATCAGTTTGAATGGTATTATTTTTGTTTATATAATTTTAGTTGTTACAAATTATAAGAAATTTTATGTTTTGATTCATGTTTTGTTTTTTATAGGTTGATGGAAGTTAGTGTTGATTAATATTTTATGTAAATTATTTATTGAATTTTAACGTATTTAGAGAGATGTTTACTAAGATGATTGTTTTAAATTTTCAGTTTAGTGAAGTGAGTTGACGGTCGAGTGTGAGTGGCTGGCTGGCTGGCTGGCTGGCTGGCTGGCTGGCTGGCTGGCTGGCTAGCTAGCTGACTGAGTGACGGATTTTGGCAGAGGCGGCTATTGTGGAATTGTGTGGGGTATGTATTTTTAGTTAATATTATAAGTAATAATGTTTGATATGTATAAAAATGTTAACACGAATATTTTTTTTGTTTCAGATTTTGCCGAGGTTTTTATTAGCGCGAGGACTGAGGGATGGATGGCTTATTGTGTTTAAGATGAGTAAACTTGTTTTATGGAAGTTTTGATTACATTAAGGCTTGAAACTGTGAATAAACAATGAAGGTCGGATCCCAGACTTGTCATTATTTATTTTTGAACAAGTGTATATATAATGTAGGAGTTATGTATATATTTGTGGTGTTTGAGGTGTTAATGTTTTGAGACGAGGAGTTGGAGGAGGAGGAGGAGGAGGAGTTGTGTTTTAGAGGTAATGTCTGTTATGTATATAGTTATAAAAAATATTAAAGAAATGAATGTTTATATTTAAGAAGTGTGATGGCAGTAAAATAGATATTTGTATCGACTAGAGAATTTTTTTTAGACAAATGCCGATGTATTTGAATTTTTTTTTTTTACAGATTGGTGATGAATTTCGAGCGAGTGAGTGACGGAGTTTATTATAGGAAGCAAGTGTGAGCTGGTAGTGATGGTGGTACTGGTCGTGGTGGTGTTGGTTATGCTACTGGTGTGTAATAAGATAAGTAATGTTATTTTATTTGTGTGTATATTGTTGTAGAGTTAAAGGTATATAGGGATAATGGTGTTGTGGGGGTTAAGATGATAGTTTTCGTTTGAGGAGACAAAATTTAATTTTAGAGTGTATTAAGTCTTGAAACACGGAGCAAATAATGAAGTTGGCATCCTAGATTTGTCATTGTTAGTTTTTGGACAAGTGTATATGTAATGTGGGAGTTATGTATACATTTGTGGTGTTTTGAGGTCTTAATACTTTTAGGAGGAAGAGGAGTAATAGTTATATTTTTGACGTAATGTATGGTATGTATATAGTTTGAGAATTGAAAAAGACGGGAAAATGATTGATTATAGTGTTTAAGAAACAAGACACTAAAATAGATAATTTTTGTATATGCACTAGAAAATATTTGAGAGAAATGTCAATGTATTTGAAGTTTTTATTAATTAGTTTTAGTGGTGATTTGAGTGAGTTTTGAAGCGGCGAAGAGTTTAATGAATTATTGTGCAAAGGTGTGTAATAATAATTGTAGTGTTTATTAAGAGATTGTTTTATTTTTAGGTTTGTGAAAGAAGAATTTGGGGCCAAGAGTGTGAGCGAGGGGACTGACGGAGTTTGAGAGGAAAGCCGTGTTTGGGGGTGGTGGTGGTGGTTTGGGGGTGGTGGTGGTGGTGGTGGTGGTGGTGGTGGGGGGTGGTGGTGGTGATGATGATGATGATGATGATGCTATGCTGCTACTGGTACTACTACTACTGCTGCTGGTGGTGGTGGTGCTTAGTGTTAAGTAATATTGATTTATGTATTTGTAAATTGTTCATTTAAGAGCATTAAAGGTATATAGGGAGAATAATTAATAATGTCTGGGTGAAGATAATTATGGGTTGAGGAGCAAGAAAAGTAAATCAATTTAGAGTATATTAAGGCTTTAAACACTGAATAAATAATGAAGGTCGTATCCTAGACTTATTATTGTTTGTTTTTGAACAAGTGTATATATAATGTGGGAGTTATATATACATTTGTGGTGTTTGAGGTATTAATATGTGAATTAAATATTTTTATATTTATAATCGTTGGTATGGATGTATTTTCCAAGTTTAATTTTGTTAAATGTGAGCAATAAAATGAGTAATCAGATTTTAAGTATAAGTTTGAGATGTTTGATGGGAGAAGTGTGAATGTAAAGAATTTTATTTTGTCTATTTAGTAAGAAATTAAAGTTGTATTTCAGGTTGGTGAATGTGATGAAGAATTTACGTCAGTGAGTGATCGGTTGACGGATTTTTATCGAGGTACAAGTGTTTGGGGGGGGGGGGTGCTATATTTTTTTTTGTTGTGTATATTTATGTATTTTATATTAATTTTTGAAATGACAATGTTTGAAGAAATAAAGTGAAGTGTTTATGTATATTTTATTTAAATTATTTATTAAATTGAATATATGATTTATTACAGATTTTCATTGTGCCGAGGTGTTGGTGGGAAGAACTGGGTGAGCGAGTGAAGATTGTTTCTGGTGGTGGTGGTGGGGGGGTGCTGTAGTGGTGGTGGTGGGGGTGGTGGTGGTGGTGGGGGTTTGGGGGTGGTGGTGTGCTGCTGCTGCTGCGGGCTGCTGCTGCTGCTTCTGCTTGCTGGTGGTGGTGGTGGTGGTGTACTGTTGATGCTGTTGTTTAAGATGATTTAAATTTTTTTTTTTTTTTAAATAAGTTTGTTGGGAAGAGATTAGTTTAAAATTATGTATGGAGAAGATTTAGTTTGAGATAATTACGGGTTGAGCCATAAATAAAATTTTTGATTTTTATTAAGACTTAAAAAACAGGACTAAGTAATGAGGGTCGCTTTCCTAGACTTGTCATTTTTTGTTTTGAAAAAAGTGTATATGTAATGGGGAGTTGTGTATACATTTGTGGTGTTTGAGGTGTTAATATGTGTAGTGGAGTTGTATATGAAATTTGAGGGATTTGATGAGAAATGTAAATTTATAATAAAATATTTTTCTTTGTTTTACAGACGATGTGATTGGTTTGGAAGAAGAAGAGAGTATAAGCAGTTATGGGAAAGGTGTGTATTATATTGTTATAAATATTTAGAAATGTTTAATAATTATTTAAAATTTATTAATGGATTTTTTTTTTTTTCCCATTAGTGAGGGTTTTGAAGAGTGCGGTTAAGTGACTTTAGGAGAGGGACTGAGTAGAAGGAATTAATGTTGAAAGGTGTATATTTGTCTTTGTATTTTTGTGTACATATTGAAATTTGTTAATTGTTGATATATTTAATAATTTTTTTTTTTTTATATTCATGTTTGTTGGCGGTTGAGTGAAAACATGGATTGTGTAGAGGCCCGATGTGGTGGTGATAGTGGAAAGAAAGAAAGACGATTGAATTTTTTTTTTTAAAAGTTGAGTATTAATTTTGTCTAGTTTATTGAGGAGTCTTAAAGGGTACATTTAGGGATAATATTTTTATTGAGATGAAGATAATTTTAGATACAGAAGGAAGAAAGTAAATTAACTTTTGGTGCATTTATTATTGAAACAAGGAATAAATATTGATGGTCGTATCCCAGATTTGTCATTATTAATTTGTTAGCAAGTGTATATGTAATTTTGGAGTTATATATACATTTATTTTTGAGGTGTTAATACTTGCCGAGTTAAAAAAAAATTTATAATGGCGGGTATACATGTATTGAGTATTTATTTCAAAATTTTTTATCATTTTTTAAGAAAGATAATTAGTTTTTTAGATATTAATAGTATAAAAATTTGAAAGTGTTTTATCAGTGAAATGTCAGTAATGTATTTCTTTTAATACATTATTTTGGTGTTGTATTTATTATATTTTTGACTATTGGTAAGTAATTGCAGTATTTAGATATTTTGAATTATTGTTTGCAGGTTTATTGATAGAAGTGGAGGATGATATTTTGATACGTTGATTGGTATTAATATTGAGAGTTTAACAAGAGGCCGAGAGTATGAGAAGCTAATAATGAAAAGTTAAGTATTTCATAATTTTAGTTTAAAGAGTAAGTAAGTTTAGTTGATAGATATACAAAGAAAATGAGTTTGTAAGATACCAAAGGTCCTTTTATGCATAACATTATGGGCAGGCTTAAAATGAAATTTAAGTATAGATGTTATATGGTAATTAAATGTATAGGTGTGGATTAAGTGTAATTGAGTATTATGTAATATAATTAGTTATTGATAAGAAAAAGTTGATAGTTTGTGAGAGGTTAATAAAGTAATGAGTATGGAAAATTTTCTAGGGTGCTTACCTGTATGTACCTCAACATTATATACATACCAGTAATCTCATTGGGAGACAATCATATTGTTTACCGTAGTCACCCCGTGTAGACATGTGAGAAAACTTAACCACCCCTGGTCGCACCAAGTGGTCCCCTCGACCTCACAATCTTATCCATATCTATCCGAGACCAGTATGGATTGGGTAGCACCCACAAGTACGGTGCTACTAATTAATTGTGGACTGTATAGATTATATTAGTTTAACTGAATGAAGGGGGGGGGGGGGGGGGGTAGGACACACATGGATACATCCGTCAAGGAAAACATTTGTACATAATCCCACTACTTACCAGATGTTCTCTGGTGGTCACTTGATGTAGCTGGATCACTCGTAACCTATCTAATTATAACATACCACTACTGGCCAGTCTAAGGTTGCTATAACTAGAAGGGTTACTTAACTGTGGGTGATTGATATTCCTCATTTCTTGATTCACCATCTCATTTTCGATGTCCTGCTACACCGACACGATTCTCATTCCAGCAGGACGAGGTATCCGCTGGTTTGTCCTGCTTTAGACGTCGTGACTCAAGGAGTTTCCCTTTCCTCGTCTCGTTAACAACGAGGTCTAGCGTGTTCACTCGGAGCAAACGACTTATTTCACTTCACATATTCTCTTAACTTAGCGTTATTATCATTAATTTACATTACAATTCACAAGCCGATTAACGTCTCATAACTATTATACAAACTAGAGGTCACTCCATTAAGATCTGAGACCGATGAGTGATGATTAATCCAAGGGTAATTTTCCCCAGGACACAGTCCATTGTGGCGCGTCAGTCACCCGCTCCTTCTCTTATCACAACTTTTACCACTCTATTACTGTGGTCCCGTAAATCCCGTTCCCTCACTCTCCACCAGGAACAATACGACACTTCTTATTATGAAATGAGGGCCTATATTAATCCTTAGGCCACCGTGAACGTCAATTTCGTGGTTCCATGTTTTCTCAGCTTCCTCACCACCATTCAAAACAAAACGCGCCCTCCCCCCCGCACATCCGCGCATGCGCAAAGGGAACTCTTGGTTCTACTCTTATTTTCAAATACATTTTTGACCCATATAGACACATTAAACACCTATTAGGCACTATAGTTTCGGAAAATCAAAAAAATTTCCACAATGAGTATTTAATTTGAAGTGATTTTTTAACCCTTAAACGGTCCAAAGAAATATTTAAATTCGTAGTGCTACAAAAGTAGATGCCCTTTTTGTAAAATATTTAAAGTGTTCTAATGTAAAACCAAAAAGATGTACAATATTTTTACATACTTTGAGATGTTGAGAAAAACTTTTATATATGTTTGGACCATTTAAGGGTTAATAGTGCAGTTTAATAAATAGATCCATTATTGATCAAAGTTTGAGTATGTTATGTAAAATACAAGACTTTCCTTGTATAATGTAAAAATAATTTTTGTTTAAATATTTTTAAAATATGTCGAAATGTATGTAAAAATTTTCAGGAATGTAATGTGTAAATATTTATTTTGATAGGTTATTGGAAGTGTCGTCGTCGTCGTGGCGACGGCGGCGGCGGCAGCAGCAGCAGCAGTAGCAGTAATGGCGTTGGTCAGTGTGATATAGATCATGTTAGAGGGAGTCAATGAATTATTTTAATACCTTAGGATAATTAGTGACTGCAAGTGAGTCATCATAGGTTATGGTGAATTGTGGAATGAGCATTGTAAAAGCCATAATGACTTTGATTACTGAAAGAGCGAAGATACTGCTGGTGTCCAGACCAAGTTGAGAGTAATGCCTACAAACGTAGTTAATGATGAAGGTTGCATCCCAGACTTTTCATTATTAATATGACTGCAAGTGTATATATAATGTGGGAGTTTATATATGTTTGTGGTGTTTGAGGCATTACGTTGAGAGTTGCGTTTTGGAAATACCGGGTATTCATGTACTCTGGATGTTTTTTGTCGTTGTGAAATGGTTAGTAACATTGTTTGTGAAACATGATACCAATAAATAATGAGTGGTGGTTTATAGGGTTTGGTCATTACAATGAAGGGGAAGTGGTAGTGTTAGGATTATAGAGGTTATGGGAAGGGGGTAGATGTGACAAGCAGGAAGTCAGTCAGGCTTAATTGTGGGAATTTGAGTATAGGTTCAAATCAGTAAATGAAGAGGGCATGAGTAATATCAAGGAACCTTATATTAGGAATGTTATTTTGTAGTTAGTTAGTTAGTTAGTTAGTTAGTTATTTGATGTAATCAAATGTTTTAATAAAAAGTCAGTTTATATGTCTTTTTGTTCCTAATTAAAAAATTTAATAATTGTGAATTAAAATTGTGAAAATGCGACAAAGTAAAATGTTTGTTTAAAGTATTTATTTGTAGAGGAAATTGAGACAATAAATTAGAAATAGATTTATTAAAATTGTTTTATGTTAAAGTTCCAAATAAAGAACCATGAAATTTATGAATAAATTTTAAGAAAAATAGAGTAACATTAATGAAATGCAAAGAAGTATGGAAAGAAAGATATTGAAAAATAATTTATAATTATTTTTAGATATTTAAATAGAAATGTAATGAATTTGAAGGAATAGTTTTTAGGAATGATTGATTTGAAAATAGTACAAAGTAACTGAATAGAATAGGACAAATGTTATAATAAAAGTAGATTTAATCATGTCAGTAGAATAATGAAAAGGAAGTAAATTTAGTACTGATGAAGTGAAATTGGTTATGTAATGAAAAGATTAACAAAGTTGAATAAAAACTGTCAAATTATTATGAATGAAACTGACAAATCATGTTATGTTTGTCTGAAAATGGAAATTAGAGATTAGGTGCAGTATTAGGAATGGTAAATTTGAAGTTTGTACTAGAGAAAGCGAGTGGATTTGTAGTAATGAAACAAATTGGAGCAAAAGATGAGAAATTAGAAATGACATTTTACTTATAACAGGGAAATTATATTTTTGAAGCACTTAGAGAAAGTAAGTAAATAATAGAAGTATGATTGATTGATTGTAATTAAGATATAATGAATTGCTAAGCCACAAGGGGTGAATAGTGGTGCAGGTCGATAATATGGGTTGAGGGGAGGTAGAGATGGCAGAATTTGTGAAGTCAATTTGTCCAAAAGTCAATGACAATAGTTTGGATGAAAGGTGGGTCTACCAGCGAGAATGGAAAAGACAGAGACCATATTTTAGATTTTGCCACCGAAGTGGCTAGTTTATTGTTCACCCCCATATTCATCCTGTGGATGGTAGTGCGATAGCATATGGATACACAAAATGCCTAGGAACTAGGCCCCAAAGGGTTAACAGGAATACATATGGATTTATATCTATAGTTCATTTGTCTGTTACAATGAAATTTAGGAAATTTGCTTAGTATATCTGGTATTTTGTTTTCATTATATTGTCTGTCTCAATAAGTGGCCAATTAAGCACATAGTGTTGAAGAGAGTGACCATATATGCCTGATGACATAATTTACATTTAGTTTGTTCATCATCTGTGTCTCCCAAAGTTCTAGAAGTACTTGTAACTAAGCCTGATCATTACAACATAAGTCAGTCTGTTCATATTGCACGTTGCTCCATAAACATACTTATCTACGTTCATGTTATCATAGTGTGTTTTATAGATGTACTCAGGCTTGTTCTACATTCCTATAACAATCACTTTCATTATTTATTTATTTCTGTCTCCACAATTAGGAATGACTAATTGACAAGACATGTAAACAGTCAGATAGCCATACTCAACAAATAAAGAGGTATACATAAACGAGTCTTTGCCAAAAACATCAGAACCTTCAGTATAGTCAGAAAACTTTAAGCAGGAGAATGACAAATACACCAATGTTTCTATTCAAAATTGTCAAGTTTTATACCAACCTTTTATTATCCTTTGTACCATGTTATATAATAAAAACCAAGACATTTATATTTACCAATATTCTTTTTATACTTTAAATTGACAGTTAATTTTATCAATTTCAATTTCAATCTATTATTGTTTTATGATTTTGATCTTGTCAATATTCTAGTGCAGTTTGGAAATTCCACTTCAAATTGTATTTTTATAAATTTATTTTATAATTTCCTACCTTATTTAACTGAATATAAAAAGCACTACAAATTAAGTAGTCTCCCTTATTTCATTAAAACAAACACTAAAAGTTAGGTTATTATTTTTAACATTTGTGAAATAATTCAGTTGGTATTTTTTAGCTTAGGACTTTTTTATTAGTTTAAGATTACAAAGCATTGACATACTGATACCAATGTTAATAATGACTTCAAATGATTCAGAACATGACACTACCTAAGAAATATAACTCTTTTCCTTGGCTAACAACTTTATCATGAAGGAGTAATATTACCAATGTGTGATGGGATCCATAGCAATTGTACACATTTAATGCCTTCAATGATGACATAGAATCAGTAATGATGATAGAGTCAAGCTCAGTGTCATAGGTTAGCTTTAGCGCCATTAGGATTGCAAACAATTCAGTTTGCAGTGTAGACGCCCAGTTGTTAATTCTTATGCCTAACTCAACAAATTTATTATGGTTCTTAACTAGGGAGGTGGCAACAAGAGCAGATGCAGCCCTGCCAGAAGACTCCTGTTTAGATCCATCAGTGTATATAACTTGTGATAACTTGTTACTACCAGCTAGGTGAGAAATTTCTTCTTGAGCAGTTGCTCTAACAAGAGATTTAAGGAAGGGATTACTAGCAATGAGCTTCTTGGGAGGGATGAAATGCTCTTGTTGCCTACAGTGATACAGTTCATGCAGGTTATAAAACTTAATGCAATTGCACGTTTTCACAATCCATTTAGATCTGTGTGTATTTACCTCTAGACACTTGGTAAGATTCACTGTGACAGTGTCTGGTTCGTTTCTCAACATTCTAATACCGGGAGTACAGTGTTAATTTCAACAATCCTATCACTGATACTAGAAATACCAAACTCCTTCCTCATGTTAAGAACTTTTGTAGATCTGGGACAGCCAAGAATAATCCTGAGAGCTTCATTTTGCATTAACTCCAAGGGTCGGAGAGAACTTTCTCTAGCTAATATCAACATGGGAGCAGCATAATCAATTAAGGACCTAACATAGGCTATGTACATCATTCTCACGATTCTCACATTAGCCCATAGTTGGGATTGTAGCCAGAAACAGCTTTGAGAGCATTTAGCCTAGCTTTACATTTCTTGTTTAGTTGTGGGGATAATGGATTTGTTAAAGGGTACATCTACACCAAGATATCTATAAGTTTTAACGTAGCTAATGATTTCAACCCTGCCAATAGTTTGGGTGGGGATTTCGTTTGCTTTGTTTTAGGGGGAAGATATTATGAGGCCTAGTCGATTACAAATTTTCTTGAACTTCATTAAGAATGGTATTCATCTTCTTATGCCCTGTTGTATGGATCATGATATCATCAGCATAGCTTATAGCTATATGTTTAGGTGAGGCAGGTAGAGCATTTAGGAGAGCATAATCAGGAAAAATTAAATAGCATGGGACTAAGAATCCTCCCTGCGGTGTACCTAAAGACATTTCTTTAGAAATCACTTCTGAAGCCTTGGTAAAGGACAGAGGATACTCTATTTGACAGGTATCCTATTATCCAGCAGAGTAAGCTAATATTCATTTTGGCTAGTTCATGTAGTATAACGGTTCTGTTCGCAATATCAAATTCAGATTTTAGATCAAGAAAAGTGGTAAAACTAGTAGAGGTGTGTGCAGTGAGAAAGGTGGAAATACAGTTCTGCACACTTTTACCTTTCATGAACCCATAGAGGTAGGGGGAAAGTTGGTGTCTGATTCTGTAGTACAGGCTTTTCAAGTCTTAAAAATGTCCCCCACTTAAATGTTCTACTGCAATGCTCGTCAAATTTATTTTTCTCAATCCACTACAGAATGCCAGCAGCAGTGCACAAATTTATATAGACATGCTGGGGGTCCTAGCTAAACTGCAGGCTGCCTTTGCTTGTTGTGGTTAGATTTTAGTGCCCTTAAGCTTGCCAAGCCCCACAACAACCACCCGTACACCTGCTTCCAGCAGTAAGCATACAGGAGACATTCACAAGATAAGCAGATTACAAACATAGACACTCATGTCGTGTGGCCAAAAATTACCTGTACACCACAAGGAAATAGAGGTGAACAGCTGAGTTTCAAATCGAGGAAGAAGTGACAAGGGAAGGGATATTAAAGAATGAATCAGACATGACAGAGAATCTATTGAAAGAAATTTGTTACTGGAAAATTTATACCCATAATAGTGCGCCCAATTACAAACATGTTTGTAGATGAATGGTTCATAGAACCAACATGTTGATAAATTAGACACATGTGCAACTCTTGGTTATTTTTATTGAGGAAAAGTTTTTTTGCCACACAGTGTCTCCATACATAGGAGAAACTTGAAGAACAGGAGGAGAATGAGGTATCATTCTCCTCCTGTTCTTCTTCAAGTTTCTCCTATGCATGGAGACACTGTGTGGCCAAAAAACTTTTCCTCAATAAAAATAACCAAGAGTTGCACATGTGTCTAATTTATCAATTACAAACATGTTCAACCGCCTACTGGACAATATGTAATGAGTTGACAGTCAGCGCCTACAGGCAATAATCATCAAATATAGTAATGACCAAATCTTTGAAGGAAGACTAGACCAAATCATTAAAACAAAAAGAACATTGTCTTGGAAGACTAGAGTGACTTGTACTAAAAATATCAAACCTCCAATTTGTGTCATATGCCTTCTCAAATTGAAAAAATATATGGCAGTGGTTATTTACAACATACTAAGACTATATAGGATGCCACCACCATATATTTCCACGACCAGGAAACAACAACTCTTATTGCAAAAGACATTAAATGTAAATGTTGAAAACATCAAATGTCATTGGGCACAGCTTTCAATTTTCGGTAACCTTGGAGTATTATCACCTCTACTTCAAGTGTAAAAAGGCACATTATAAATAACACTTCTTTGACAAAATAAAAATACAAGGGTGCTAAACTCTTTCAAGAAAGAAATGAGAACATACATGGAGCCCCTGAGAAATACAGACCACATAAATTGCAAATTTCAATGGAAACATCAAGAGAGTTTGCTACACTGACACCAGCAACTTGGAGAACGTGAGCCAGGTTATAATTTGCCACTCAATTTGCCAACTTTTTTCTAGACTCCATTCAATGATGAAAGTACTTGTAGACACAATCTAACCACAAAGTGCATTTTATCATAAATGACAGCCAGCGAATACACACCCCTTCTTAAACTTAAAAATTCTCTCAGCATTTCTAACGTACTAATGCTGCCCCCCCCCCCCTCCTCGCACTGAATTTTACACACTTCTGACAATGCTTAGGTTTGGGTATTATACAATGACAACCCTACACACAGTTCAAACTGAGGACGAGACATAAAAGAAATTCAATGAAGGACACACAAGTAACCTCAAATCAATTCCCAATTTGCTCCATTCAACTACCAACATGTCCTAAAAGAGATGCTTAATCAAGAATCAAAATGGGTTCAAGTACCTGTTTTTAAAACATGGACAGAGTAACAAGTAAGAAAAGCCTCAAACTGAACGACACAGGAATCATACTGAGAACCCCACCCCCCCAAGTGGAAATAATGGCCATTAAAATCACAAAGTAACAGTCATGGCATTAAAGACAAAACAAGAAAAGAAACATTCAGCATAATGGCTCCCCAACGAAAGAGATGGAAACAATAGAGTGTATACACACAACTTATACAAGTGGATACAGTAAGTTGTGTGTAATGCACAAAATTATAAATAAATACCTGACATTTTAAGACGGCAGATATTGCCATCTTCAAACATACATTTTGATTTGCACCACAATGACTTACTTTCAGGACATTATTTACAAAAATAGAACATCCATTTCTACATATACATGTATAAAATGGATGATATTCTTTAGAGTAATGTTAAATAAGATATAATGTTTAAATGACATTTGTGATTAATTTTAAGTTTTAACACATCTCACGACTTTCAGAAAGCATTGTCAATCTTTCCATAACAATCTTGTACGTCTTCAGAAGATGACACTACATTGGGTATATACAACTCTTGTCTCCAATCTTTGCCAACTTTATACTGAAAATGAAAAAACATTAAATTATTCTCTATTTTCATTTACAATGAATAAAATTTGTCTTAATTCCATAAATTACAAATAAAAACTACATCATCTTCAGCTCCATCTTTAAAAACTATATACTACCGAGTCCAACAGAAACACAGACACAGTGAGTGAGTCAGTGTGAGAGAAAAGTTCAATAATAAGTCAGTCTAGTTCCACTATCCCTTCCCCTCCCTCTTCCCCCCCCCCCTAAAAAGTGACATGTGGATCTCTGGTCAAACAGTAAAATCACTCAACTCACAGCTCCCAACACTATTGCCTTATTCTATTGGATTTATTGGTTGAAAACTTCTTCCTCTAGATTGATTATTACAGTAATCATCACATCTTTTGAGTATTGTACTTGCCATAGAGTGATTATTTAAGTAGTGAGTAACCTGTCTATCTTTTCAGCTTGGATGAAAGTGAGCGTCACCAGGTCAATCAACAAAAAGAACAGATGGAGAAGGATTTTAACGTCTAGAGACTTCCCCATTTTGGATCTAATTACATGTGCACCTATATGACAAATTATAGGACGAAACCCCACAGCATTGTAGCAGTAAAGAACTGCTTTCCTATCATCGGGATATTATACTCAAGACCCTATCTACTGTGAAGATTAGCTAGTGGGTCGTAACCAACACCTGCAACCCCCCCCCATCATCAACAACGTCTAAAATTTCAACAACATAGCGTCATCAACACCAGACAAACTTTAGCATCTGTACAAAATAATATGTAACAAAAATAACAAAATATATTAGGTGCTCACTTAATGTCCTTTCGCTACAACATCAATGACTGCTAGAAGATTCCCAGTCGGGGCTGCTGCCTGTGTCAACTTCATTTTTCAACTGCCTCATAGTAGGTGCTGCTCCTTACAATTTCACTGTAACAATTTATTCCTTGATTTAAACCTCTTGTAGTGAGTGCTAAAGGTGCACTTCTGCAAAAATCATATTTATATCAATTATAATGTGCTAAAACTAGTTTCATTACACATCAATCATTTCTCTTAGAGTTGCAGTGCCTAAAAACCTAAAAAAGAAATAAATACTTTCAATATCACTCACTCCATCACTATCTTACAAGAAGCACATCAATACTACAATTCAAAACTTCAATATCCCCAATCCTCCTCCTTCGCAGCATAACATACTATATATATCCCGACTCCAGAATAAATTCCACATAACCAGTTTCCCAAAGTCACTTTCGAAATGTTTGTTACCTTCCTCAATCTCCAACTTATTTCACATCATAAAAATAACTTGTCTCCACTCACTCCTATCTAACATTCTGTGTCTAATCCCTTCTCATAATCTCCTCCTCCTCCTCCTCCTCCTTTCCTACTAGGACCCCTACCCTGCCTTCTCTCCACTACAGATTTTATACATCCTCGTCGCTATCCCATTTGGTTCCCTCCTCTCTCGTCGTTCAAAACACCTCGACGACCCCTCTTCCTTCCTCTGTATAACGCTACACTGGAACCTCTACTCGGGACTTTAATCAGTTTCGTGACCTTACGGATAGATGGATTTGCTCGTTTGTAAAGTCAATTTTCCTCTTTTACATTAATTGAATTTAAATTAATTCATTCCAAGGGAATTCCAGGCACGAAAAAATACTTTAATAATTTCCCTAATATCACCTCTACAATTCATTTATCTATCACATTTCATGAAATATGACATAATAAATAAAATTAATAACATAGAAACATGATATATATATCAAAATGAATAAAATACATGTCATTAGGTTTGTACATACTGGTGGTGACAGCAGACACTGTTGTTGGATTTATAGGGCCACCACAGCGACCATTCCTGCTCCTGACTACATGTGTACAGAACCTAGGATAACCCAAAAAAAACAATCAGTCAGAAAAATTATTTTATAATTGCTATACTCTGAATGTTATACTTTGCCACTGCTGCTTCATGTTGTCTGTTACTCCTACCTCATCATGCCTAACCCTGATGTCACCAAAAAAATACAAATGTGTGCAATTTTCAACTCTATTTCAAAGTACTTTTAATGGTGAAACCAATTAAAATCAACTTTATTTTTGTAGTAAATCTTCCCATTCTATCAAAGGAAACTAAATAAAACGTGAACATAATCATAAAAATATCAAAATAGACTGCTAAAAGGCAAGACTAATGGCTGAAAACTCTTATTTATGGTCAAATTTCTTTCATTCTTGATGTACGTTAAGGAGCATCTTTTCATCGCTTGTTGCCCAGTTTCAATAACGTACTCCGACAAATGATCGAGAGCCCCCTTACCAGTGTCAATTAACCTCCCTCGAGTCCGGCTCCCATCTGCAAATTTGGCTCGCGTCTGGAAGCCAAAAATCGACAGAGGGCATGTTTGTATCTGCAAAACATCGCACGTGGATGCACTCCCGAGTACAGGTTCCACTGCACTTTTAACAACCCACACCTTCTAATCTCCGACCAACAAACTCTTGACATAATATTCACTCCTCACATTTCTCTCAGACATGACAACAATAATAACAACATTTCCACTGTCTGTCTCCCAGTCTCCTCCTTGTTACAACATTTACAACCCATGCTTCACACCCATATAAGAGAATTGGTACCACTATACTCTCACACATTTTCTTCTTTGCTTCCATTCAAAGTGTCCTTTGTCTCCACAAACTCCATACTGCAGTGTGATCTGCTGCTGCTTTACTCTTGTCTAGAACTTTTCTCATAACAAAGTTTATTCAGTTGCAGATACATATAGATACATACATTATCATACATAGAAGCATATTCTAACCATAGAGTAAAATAGTAATGTGAAGGACCTGGGAATGATAATGGCAGAGGATCTCAACTTCAAAGACCACAAAAAAAATGTATCTACTGCATCTGATAGGAAATTAATAGGATGGATAATGACAACCTTCAAAACTAGGGACATCAAACCCATGATGATTCTCTCTAACCTGGAATACTCATGTACACCAATGGCCCCCCTTCAAGGCTGGCGACATTGCTGACCTACAAACTGTACAAACAACTTTCACAGCACACATAAGTGATATAAGGTATCTAAACTATTGTCAACAGTTGAAGGTTCTTGGTCTGTATTCCCTTGAATGAAGGTGAGAAAGATACATGATAATATAAACTTGGAAGGTCCTGGAGGGATTGGTACAAAACCTGCACACAGTGTCAGGGGACAAACACTGTTCAATTGCTTCCCAGAATACAAAATGAGGATTACCAAAAGACCCCTGGCTCTCTTCAAGAAGGCACTGGACAGGCACATAAAATCAGTCCCTGACCAACCGGGTTGTGGTTCATACATTAGCTTGCGTGTGGCCAGAAGTAACAGTCTGGTTGATCAGACCCTGATTCACCATGAGGCCTGGTCTTAGACCAGACCACAAGGGTCTTGACCCCCAAAACCCTCTCCACATAAACTCAAGGTAAGGTCACTCAGACTTAGTCAGTCTTGTAGCCAAGGTCACTCAGACTTACATGAATTTAATAATTGAACATCAAGAGACTCATTCCATAAACTTCACAAGACAACATCAAAAAACTAACCCCATGCACTTCGTGGGTGAATGACTGCTCCTCGAAGGGCTTGGAAGTATCAGACTTCAACATGTCGTACATATGAGGCACCACCAGAGACCCAAATAAATCCATGCCTTCCCTGGGCAGCTGTGTGGGCATATTGTCTATGCTGCACACAACTACCCTGGGGCCCTTAAAGCTGTAACAAGATTCCACAATATTAATCACAATGTATGATTTACATGTTATAAAATATTGTTAAATAAAAAAAAAAAAAAAAACTCTCCTTCTCATTATTTATCTCACTATCTTTACTTGTGTACCTGTTAGTATCTTTATTCTGGTTGGCATCGTAGACACACAAAGGCATCTCAATGGTGCTACACTTTGTCACAAAATATCTACATCCTCCAGGATCTGCTGAGACATAACACATGGCCAACATCTTGTGTGGCAGTGATGGTGAATCTCTCTGTAATAAGAAATATCATCTTCATTATCATAATAATAATTACTATGTGGTTTTTTGTATATGATTATTTATTTACAGAATACAGTATGTCTATCAGTGGACACTAAAGTAAATGAGTCTCAATTTTACTTTCTGGATTATTATTATTACTATTATTATATTCAAAATATAAGTCCATATGTAAGGAACTGAGAAATACAAATAGGTGAGTACACTCAGACAGAGAGGAATAAAAATGCTGTGAGTCCAAGATTGTTGATTAAATGTCAAGACCAGCTAGGACCACCTCTAACTCAAAGCTATCAGCAGTGCCTAGTAGTGTAAATGGCCTTCTCTGTGGAAATAAGTAAATGTTTTTTTCCTATTCACAAAAGTAAAAATAGAATGGAAATCAACAATGAGAGACTTGTGTCATTCTCATCAATCACTGGCAAGATTCCTTAGATAATAACCTCACAACTAATAAGGATGAGTTTTTCAACTATCACTCACTTCTTTGTGATCATCAATATGCCTTAAGAAAAGGTTACTCTTCTGCTGATCTCTTGTTAAACTTCTCCACTAAGTGCCACTAGTCGCTACATGAATCCACACTCAGATGTGTAGTAGCACTGGACATTGCTACATTTCCACAAAGTATAGCACCAGGGACTCTTGGCAAAACTACAAGTTAACAGCTACATCTACACTATGCTTTCTCATTGATTACCTCTAAGCTATATCTCTAAGTGTAGTTCAAAGTGGAACAGAGTCAACAACACACACTACTAGTACCAGTGTATCACAGGGAATTGTGCTTATGCTATTGTTATGGAATGTTTATTTCAATAACCTTCAGCTCATTCTAGAAGCTCATGCATATGGAGATGACTGTACTCTAACATTCACTTATCTAGGAAAGGAAATGCTGGCCATTCTATATTATATCAATCACCAGCTTACAGCTATATTAGCCTAGGAAAAATGATGGCAGGTTGCATTTCCTTCTAAGAAAATAAAGATGATGGTCTCTAGGCACCATGATAGTAATGCTAGAGCAATGGTAAGAATGAATGGGAGTGTATTGGTACCCTGGAATGAGGTTCACATCCTGGCGGTAAAATTTGACTCTTAAACAGTACAAGCCGCAAGACTCTGTATGAAATAAGACTGCTTACACCTTCAGTATACTCCACCTTCTTGGATTGCCTGCCCCATGTCTCATCTGTGATTTCTTGACACAATAATGAACAGAGCAAGACAACTTATCTCTTGTCTGAACCCAGCCTGGACAGATCCATCATTTCAACAGAGCCTTCAACACTGTAGGGATGTGGGTTGCCTTACTGTTGTAGACAAGACCAATAGTGTCAAAATACCTCCACTCTAAAAGCAACAAAAAGTGAGCTTCTACACCACAAGGCAGGAAGAAACAAGTAACTATACTCTCAATGTACCCTACCTCAGAACATCACTTCATCTGAGATCATTTATTCATAACATGATTCTAAAATGGAACATGTCCGTATAACATAACATAACCGAAATAAATTCAGATGACCAAATAAAATTTCTAGCCCACATATGCCTCCAATTTCATTTTGTTTGTAAGTAAGCTACAAATACACTTAATTATAATTACAATACATATTTGTAAAATACCCACCATGATAACCAAAAAAAAATCAAAATCCATTGTGTTCATAAAATAAAAAGGTTTTCAAATAAGTTGAACTTAAGTAACAGCTCTTGTAAATAAAGATAGCAACTTTTAACCCAACCCTGTAAATATCCTTGAGTAAATATAAAAAAACTTAAACTGGTAAGGAGCCAGAGTGTATATAGGCTGCAGGAGGACCTTGGCATCAGGGATGGTTACAAGTTTGGGTGAGTTCACTGCCCCATATATACCACTGATGATCAACGTGGAATATGGCACCACCTGAAACAAATGGTGAAATCAATGAAAACATATATAAGTTCTATGCACAGTGACAAGATACAAAACTTCTATATACAGTGAAGATATATACAAGTTCTAGTATATACTTTAAAAATATAAACAAACTCTACATAAAGTGAAAATATTATAAAATTTCTATATACAGTTAAAATATATAGTCACTACATACAGTGAAAAGTTATATAATTCAGCGTTGGCCTACTATACGCTTGCCATTGTTCGATAAGAAAATTATCTTACAATTAAGAAAACTGTTCTTATGACAAAGAAAATGACATTTTTTTTTTTTTTTTTTTTTATCACACTGGCCAATTCCCACCAAGGCACAGTGGCCCGAAAAAGAAAAACTTTCACCATCATTCACTCCATCACTGTCTTGCCAGAAAGGTGCTTTACACTACACTTTTTAAACTGCAACATTAACACCCCTCCTTCAGAGTGCAAGCACTGTACTTCCATCTCCAGGACTCAAGTCCGTCAGCCTGCCGGTTTCCCCTGAATCCCTTCATAAATGTTACTTTGCTCACACTCCAACAGCACATCAAGTATTAACAACCATTTGCCTCAATTCACTCCTATCAAACACACTCACGCATGCCTGATGAAACTCTAAGCCCCTCGCACAAAAACCTCCTTTACCCCCTACATCCAACCTTTCCTAGGCTGACCCCCCTACCCCGCCTTCCTTCCACTACAGACTGATACACTCTTGAAGTCACTCTGTTTCGCTCCATTCTCTCTACATGTCCAAACCACCTCAACAACCCTTCCTCAGCCCTCTGGACAACACTTTTGGTAATCCAGCACCTCCTCCTAACTTCCAAACTACGAATTCTCTGCATTATATTCACACCACACATTGCCCTCAGACATGACATCTCCACTGCCTCCAGCCTTCTCCTCGCTGCAACATTCATCACCCATGCTTCACACCCGTATAAGAGCGTTGCTAAAATATACTCTCATACATTCCCCTCTTTGCCTCCAAGGACAAAGTTCTTTGTCTCCACAGACTCCTAAGTGCACCACTCACCCTTTTCCCCTCATCAATTCTATGATTCACCTCATCTTTCATAGACCCATCCGCTGACATGTCCACTCCCAAATATCTGAATACAGTGGACCCCCGGTTAACGATTTTAATCCGTGCAAGAGGGCTCATCGTTATGCGAAATAATCGTTATGCGAATGAATTTTCCCCATAAGAAATAATGGAAATCAAATTAATCCATGCAAGACGCCCAAAAGTATGAAAAAAAATTTTTTTTACCACATGAAATGTTAATTTTAATACACACAAACTGAAAAAGGCATGCACAATTACATGACACTTACTTTTATTGAAGATCTGGTGATGATTGATGGGATGGGAGGAGGGGAGAGCATTATCTTCTTACTGTTTAGAAGGGGAATCCCCTTCCATTAGGACTTGAGGTAGCAAGTCCTTTTCTGGGGTTACTTCCCTTCTTCTTTTAATGCCACTAGGACCAGCTTGAGAGTCACTGGACCTCTGTCGCACAACAAATCTGTCCATAGAGCTCTGTACCTCCCGTTCCTTCAAGACTTTCCTAAAATGGGCCATAACATTGTCATTGAAATAGTCACCAGCACGGCTTGCAACAGTTGTGTCAGGGTGATTTTCATCTATAAAGGTTTGCAGTTCAACCCACTGTGCACACATTTCCTTAATCTTTGAAGTAGGCACAATGGATTCCACAACTGGCATAGGCTTCTCAGGGTTAGCCCCAAACCCTTCAAAATCTTTCTTAATTTCCATACTAATTCTCACCCTTTTTACCACAGGGTTGGCACTAGAAGCTTTCTTGGGGCCCATGGTCACTTATTTTCCAGAAACAGCACCGAAAACACTGTAATAATACGAAATATTCCGAGTGTATGCTTGGATGTTACCGCGGAGGCTGGCTGGTAAACAATGGGACGGCCGGCACATGTGAGGGCACATTGGACGCGTCTCGGACGAAAATCGGTATGCGGGTTTTTAATCGGTATGCGCGGGAAAAATTTTGCGATAAAAGTAATCGTTATGCGGAAAAATCGCTATGCGATGCCATCGTTATGCGGGGGTCCACTGTACATTCACCTCCTCCATACTCTCTCCCTCCAATCTGATATCTAATCTTTCATCACCTAATCTTTTTATCCTCATAACCTTACTCTTTCCTGTATTCACTTTCAATTTTCTTCTTTTCCACACCCTACCAAATTCATCCACCAATCTCTGCAACTTCTCTTCAGAATCTCCCAAGAACACAGTGTCATCAGCAAAGAGCAACTGTGACAACTCCCACTTTCTGTGTGATTCTTTATCTTTTAACTCCACGCCTCTTGCCAAGTCCCTCGCATTTACTTTTCTTACAACCCCATCTATAAATATATTAAACAACCACGGTGACATCACACATCCTTGTCTAAGGCCTACTTTTACTGGGAAATAATTTCCCTCTTTCTTACATACTCTAACTTGAGCCTCACTATCCTCGTAAAAACTCTTCACTGCTTTCAGTAACCTACCTCTTACACCATACACCTGCAACATCTGCCACATTGCCCCCCTATCCACCCTGTCATATGCCTTTTCCAAATCCATAAATGCCACAAAGACCTCTTTAGCCTTATCGAAATATTATTCACTTAAATGTAAATGTGGAGCCTTTAATTGAGCTATGTGTAGAAAGAAATTTGCTAATAAGTAATACATATTTTATGAAAAACAGGATAAATAAATATACAAGGTATAATGTAGCACGTAATGAAAGTAGTTTGTTAGATTATGTATTGGTGGATAAAAGGTTTATGTGTAGGCTCCAGGATGTACATGTTTATAAAGGGGCAACTGATATATCAAATCATTATTTAGTTGTAGTTACAGTTAGAGTAAGAGGTAGATGGGAAAAGAGGAAGGTGGCAACAACAAATAAGAGGGAGGTGAAAGTGTATAAACTAAGGGAGGAGGAAGTTCTGGCAAGATATAAGCGACTATTGGCAGAAAGGTGGGCTAGTGCAAAAATGAGTAGTGGTGGAGTTGAAGAGGGTTGGAATAGTTTTAAAAATGCAGTATTAGAATGTGGGGCACAAGTTTGTGGTTATAGGAGGGTGGGGGCAGGAGAAAAGACGAGTGATTGGTGGAATGATGAAGTAAAGAGTGTGATAAAAGAGAAAAAGGTACCTTACGAGACATTTTTACAAAGCACAAGTGTTATAAGAAGAGCAGAGTATATGGAGAGTAAAAGAAAGGTGAAGAGAGTGTTGAGAGAGTGCAAAAGGAGAGCAGATGAAAGAGTGGTAGAGGCACTATCAAGAAATTTTAATGAAAATAAGAAAAAATTTTTGGAGCGAGTTAAACAAGTTAAGAAAGCCTAGGGAAAGTATGGATTTTTCCATTAAAAACAGAGTAGGGGAGTTAGTAGATGGGGAGAGGGAGGTATTAGGTAGATGGCGAGAATATTTTGAGGAACTTTTAAATGTTGAGGAAGAAAGGGAGGCGTTAATTTCATGCACTGGCCAGGGAGGTATACCATCTTTTAGGAGTGAAGAAGAGCAGAATGTAAGTGTGGTGGAGTTACGCGAGGCATTGCGTAGAATAAAAGGGGGTAAAGCAGCTGGAACTGATGGGATCATGACAGAAATGTTAAAAGCAGGGGGGGATATAGTGTTGGAGTGGTTGGTACTTTTGTTTAATAAATGTATGAAAGAGGGTAAGGTACCTAGGGATTGGCAGAGAGCATGTATAGTCCCTTTATATAGAGGGAAAGGGGACAAAAGAGATTGTAAAAATTATAGAGGAATAAGTTTACTGAGTATACCAGGAAAATTGTACAGTAGGGTTATAATTGAAAGAATTACAGGTAAGACAGAATGTAAAATTGCGGATGAGCAAGGAGGCTTCAGAGTGGGTAGGGGATGTGTAGATCAAGTGTTTACATTGAAGAATATATGTGAACAGTATTTAGATAAAGGTAGGGAAGTTTTTATTGCATTTATGCATTTAGAAAAGGCATATATATGATAGATTGGACAGAGGAGCAATATGGCAGATATTGTAAGTTTATGGAATAGGTGGTAAGTTACTAAATGCTGTAAAGAGCTTTTATGAGGATAGTGAGGCTCAGCTTAGGGTGTGTAGAAGAGAGGGAAAATAATTCCCGGTAAAAGTAGGTCTTAGACAGGGATGTGTAATGTCACCATGGTTGCTTAATATATTTATAGATGGGGTTGTAAAACAAGTAAATGCTAGGGTGTTCGAGAGAGGGGTGGGATTAAATTATGAGGAATCAAATTCAAAATGGGAATTGACACAGTTACTTTTTGCTGATGATACTGTGCTTATGGGAGATTCTAAAGAAAAATTGCAAAGCTTAGTGGATGAATTTGAGAATGTGTGTAAAGGTAGAAAGTTGAAAGTGAACATAGAAAAGAGTAAGGTGATGAGGGTATCAAATGATTTACATAAAGAAAATTTGGATATCAAATTGCGGAGGAAGAGTATGGAAGAAATGAATCTTTTCAGATACTTGGGAGTTGACGTGTCGGCGGATGGATTTATGAAGGATGAGGTTAATCATAAAATTGATGAGGGAAAAAAGGTGAGTGGTGCATTGAGGTATATGTGGAGTCAAAAAACATTATCTATGGAGGCAAAGAAGGGAATGTATGAAAGTATAGTAGTACCAACACTCTTATATGGGTGTGAAGCTTGGGTGGTAAATGCAGCAGCAAGGAGACAGTTGGAGGCAGTGGAGATGTCCTGTCTAAGGGCAATGTGTGGTGTAACTATTATGCAGAAAATTCAGAGTGTGGAAATTAGGAGAAGGTGTGGAGTTAATAAAAGTATTAGTCAGAGGGCAGAAGAGGGGTTGTTGAGGTGGTTTGGTCATTTAGAGACAATGGATCAAAGTAGAATGACATGGAAAGCATATAAATCTATAGGGGAAGGAAAGAGGGGTAGGGGTCGTCCTCAA